CCTAAACCCTAGTAAACCCGAATAAACCCTAGTAAACCCTGCAAGCCCTAAACCCTAAACCCTAAACCCTAAACCCTCACTTCTGCGAGCATCTTGAGTAGAACGGGTTTCGTCAGCTTCAGCTGCAGCGTCTTCTCTAGCGAACGCAGGGGGGCCCCCTTTAGGGGGGCCCCCCTTGCTGCAGCAAGAAGGGGGCCCTCATGAACGAGAGAAGAACTGTGAATTAAAGAGGAGAGAGAAGAAGCAGCAGAAAACAAAGAAAAGCCAACGCCTAAAGGCTTCCCTACAACCCCAGAGCATGCTCTTGCTGCTGCTGCTGCTGCTGCTGATGACGATGATGGTGATGATGATGATGCTGCTGTTGTTGCTTCTCCTGATCCTGGTGATGCTGCCGATCCTGCTGGTTCTGCTGCAGTGCGTCCTGCTGCTGCCTCTGCTCCTGCTGCTCTGGCTACTGCAGCAGTGCCGTCTGCTTCTGCTGCTTCTTTCGCTCGTGCTGCTGCTGCTGCTGCTGCTCCTGTTGCTGTTGCTGCTGCTGCTAATGGTTTGTTTAGGCCTGTTCCTTCCGCTGACGGCCCTCGAGGGCTCCCCAACGACCTCGCCGCTGAGTGCCCAGCAGCAGCAGCAGCAGCAGCAACAGGTGAGGCAGCAGCGGGAGCATCAGGTGAAGCAACAGCATCATCAGCAGCAGCAGCAGCAGCAGGTGCAGCAGTAGAATTCGCATTTTCTGCTGCTAAGCTGGCGAGTAGAAGATGTAATTTTTGGGGTTGGAGTTTTGATGCAGCAGGAAAAGAAGAAGGAGACAAAAACGGGGACCAACAAAGAGGGACCTTTATATCGCTTACACAACAACGCAACCAATACAAACTTATATCAGGTCCTCGTGCTGCTGCTGCTGCTGCTGCTGCTGATGATGATGATGGTGCTGCTGCTGATGCTGCTGCTGATGCTGATGCTGATGATGGTGATGGTGATGATGGTGCTGATGGTGCTGCAGCTGTTCCTCCTGCTGCTGCCGATGATGATGGTGCTGATGCTGCTGTGGCTGCTGCTGCTGCTGATGATGATGAAGATGATGGTGCTGCTGCTGCTGCTGCTGCTGCGGGAGTTTGCCTCGGCTGCAAGAACATCACAGGAGGCCTCGCGGGGTATTGCTGCTGCTGCTGCTGCTGCTGCTGCGATGGCAGCAGCAGTTGAAGCAGCGCGGAGGCTTCTGGGCTATCTGCTGGCAACCTCGCCAGCCATAGGTTTCCCCCGTCTCCTGGGGCCCCCCCTTCTCTTGCGGGCCCCGTTTCTCCTGGGGGCCCCCCTTCTCCTGGGGGCCCCTCATCTGTCTGGGTACCTCTCTGAACCCCCTGGGGGCCCTGAAAGGGTTGCTGTTCCTGTTGCTGTGTCGGGGGCCCCCACGGGGGGCCCACTTGGAGGCCCCCCATGGGGGCTCCCCTACTGAGTAGGGTACGAGATAGGGTCTCAGCTTCTGCTGATCCACGGGGTAGAAGCAGGCAAAGATCACTGCCCCTTAAAGAAGAGTCAANAGGGTCTCAGCTTCTGCTGATCCACGGGGTAGAAGCAGGCAAAGATCACTGCCCCTTAAAGAAGAGTCAAATTGCTGCTGCAGCCAAGAGGAGGTTGTTTCATCTTCTGCTGATGCAGATAGAGGGGCCCCTTTGTCTGGTGCTGCAGCAGGAAGAGGGGCCCCTTTATCTGGTGCTGCAGCCGATAAGGGGGTCCCAAAGGGACCCCCAAGGGCCCCCTCTTCTGGTGCTGTAGCGGACAGGGGGGCCCCCAGGTCCCCCAGAGGGTTCTGTACCGCAGGCGGGGGGCCCATAGGGGGGCCTCCAAGGGCCCCCCATGAGGAACAGCAAGCAGGGATTTGGCGGGGCCCCCTGGGGGCCCCCGAGAGGAAAGAGAGGGGCCCTGATAGGAAGGCTGAGGGGGTGGCTTTATTAAATGCCTCTGTGGGGATTAAACGATAGCAGAGAGAGGGCCTCCAAGCTGCTGCTGCTGCTGTTGCTGCCGCTGCTGCTAGTTTTGCTGCTGGTGTTGGTTTTGCTGCTGCAGCAGGGGCTGTTACTGCAGCAGCGGCTAGGAGCAGCAGCAGCACATAACAACTAGGCTGCATGCTGCAGCGCTGAGGGACTCCATACACCTCCTGGGGGGCCTCCCNTTTCAAAAGGCCTCTTCCCTTCGGGCCCCCTCGAAGGGGGCCCCTATGCCTAAGGGGGCCCCTATACCTAAGGGGGGCCCCCAAGGGGGGCCCCTCCTGTCGGGGGCCCCCATGGGGGGGCCCCGTATAGGGTTCTATTTAAGGCCTGTTGTGTTTTTGAACCTGCATCATCTGTTGTATTTATTATGATGGTTTATAAATTAGGGTTTCGGGTTTAGGGCTTAGGGCTTGGGGTGATGGTTGCGCTCGATTCGTATGAGCAAGACGGGGGCCCCCCAGGGGCCTCCCGTCTTGACTTGCTGCTGCAGCAGCCGCAGGATTTAGGGGCCCTCCCTTACCTCCCTCACTCTCAGCTACATCCGTGGGTGCAGCGTCTGCAGCTGCGGGACCAGCAGCAGCAGCAGCAGCAGCTGCTGCTGCAGCAGCAGCAAAACAACGAAGCCGCAAGCCTATTCGCCCTCGCGTACAACAACCCGAGCGACGGCAGCAGCAACAACAACAGCAGCAGCAGCAGCAGCAACGGCAGCAGCAGCAGCAGCAACGGGGACTTGGACGCAGCCGCGAGCCGGCTGAGGGGCGCCTCCTCCTACAAAAGGGAGGAGGCAGCAGCAGCTGCTGCTGCTGCTGCAG